GCAGGGAGCTGCCGCTGGAGACCGCCCTGAGGACAGAGAAGGACATTTTTGGAAGGGTCTGGGGTGGCCCTGCCAATCTGGAGGCATTGGCGAGGAGAGCAAAGCATAAGTGACAGTCGGTGTGTGAGAAACCTTCTTGGCCTTTCTGCGGCCAAAGCTGCGGCTGAAGCTGCCATTAAAGGGAGTCGTTTCAGGACTCGGTCACTGAGGGTGGCATTAACGTCCCTGTCACTCGCCTGGGGCAGACACCGGAGTGTCCCACCTGGCTGGGGATCAGGGAGATGACTGGAGATTAGGAAAAATGTTTACAGGAAAGGGTTGTCAAACATTGGAATGGGCTGCCCAGGGCAGTGGTGGAGTCCCCATCCCTGGAGGGATTTAAAAGCCGGGCAGACGTGGTGCTGAGGGACATGGGTCAGTGGTGGGTTTGTCAGTGTTGGGGTGATGGTTGGACTGGACGATCTGAAAGGTCCCTTCCAACCCTGGCAATTCCATGATTCTATGACTGCTTGTGCCATGGTCCTGGCCCAAGCTCCAGGCTAACAGCACCTGGAGTCCCAATTAACTGCTCCTTCCAGACCAAGGAACCGAAGTTCCAGAGTGGGCATTTGTACCCAAGGGGCTGGAGGGATCAGAGGACACCAGCAGGACCTGGTTTTTTTGGCAGGGCAGGGCCTCCTAGCCTGTGCTGCAGCCGCTGATCGTAGGTTTGCTCAGCCCTTTTTTGGCTTTATGAGGAGCTTCATCATGCTGTTAGCTGAAGACCTTCACACATTTGCATCTCCTCTTGGTTTTGCTGTGCTGTGATGGACAGACAGTACAGGAGGTCCCAGGTGCAGATGCCTATGGCGATGCTTTTGCCCCCAACAAAAGAGTCAAGGTGACTCTTTTTTTAATTATTTTTTGCAAAGCCTGAGATGTAGCACACTGCCTAGAAGATACGACTTGATTTATGTGGTGCACAGCCTTAAATAGAGGACTTTGGTTTAATCCCAGATCAGGGCTTTTGTTGTGCAGATAAAGGAACAGGTAACGTAGTTCTTACTCTGCTATAAATTCAACAATCACAGCTCTCCCCTGCTTTGTTTCAACTTGCTGTGACACCCTTGTTGGCTAAAGCCATCACCTGCTGCATGTCTTCAGCAGCACTGTGTGTGTAAGAGCAGGTTTTTGGGGTTTTTGGTGGGTTTTGCACGCATCAGCCAGAGGAGAAGGGAGCTGAGATTGCAGATATTACCCCTCTCCATCTGCTGCCTGAGTCAGTCACTGGCTGCAAGAACCCACCACCAATACTGGGGTCTCCTGTGCCCCTCGGCATGTTGGAGAAGTGTAGAGAAGATGGAGTGAGACCATGAGGTCCAACATGGAGGTGGAGTGACGGGACAGGGGCTGTGCTTTGAGTGTTGGGAAGGTGCAGTGGGAGAAGAGGGAAGAAGGAAGTCGACAACAGACTCCAGTTTTCTTGGTCCAGTGTGATTTGGGAGCTGCTGCTGCGGATGGTCCTGGTAGCACTTGCCAAGAGACGTTACAAAATCCTAAACGAGCCACACCTGAGCTTTGGTCACTTGCAAACGAGGTCATCACCTTTCCCTGCCCACCTGGCGAAACAAGTCCTGTTCCCTGATAAACACCATCCTCAGATCACGTCTTGGGTCACTCTAGCCAGTTCCTGAGCTCCCGTTCCCCAGCAGCCTGTGCTGTAACTTCCTGGTGTGGCCGTGTGTCAGCGTGGCTGCTGCTGGAGGTAACAAGACTTCATTAAGCTGACACCGCGTTGATGAGGTATTAGAAAAACAGAGACACGTGACTGGATTGCACAGCAGCTTTGTTCTTGCGTTGTTTGCTGGTTAAACTGTTTGGCCCTTGGTAGCCTTCTTTCTGCTGCCGTTTCCCTGGTGGTTTTCTTTTTTCTTCAATGTCTTTTCTTTTTTTCCCTGTGCTTAAAATGGTTGTGTGTGTGGTTTGGGTGATGGGTTGAAAGCCTTTGACACCAATGCTGTGTTCTTGCTGTCTTTGCTGAGCAATCCCAGTCGGGCAAAACGTGTGTGCAGCTGGCCGTGCACATGGCTTCTCCTGTGGCTGGATGTCTTCTGGCATCGTAGTTTTGCAGAAATGCCTGGTTGTATTTGAAAATTTCTTCTTATTTCTAGTTCTGTAACTCTTCCTCTGCAGTATGGTAAAATTATGGATGTCTTTTAATTGTATCTCCGAGACATTGAGCAATTTACTCTAGTTCTGTAACTCTTCCTCTGCAGTATGTTAAAATTATGGATGTCTTTTAATTATATCTCCAAGACATTGAGCAACTTGCTCTAGTGGGAGGTGTCCCTGCCCAGGGCAGGGGGTTGGAACTCGATGATCTTTAAGGTCCCTTCCAACTCTGACCATTCCATGATTCTAAGACTGTCTTTGGAGAACTTCCCACCTTGTGTTGGTGCCATCACCTTACGGAAGGCAGCAGATTTGGTGGGGGGGACTTACCGTGGCCCAAAGGCATCAGCTTGGCTTGTTGGTCGTGCTGCCTGATGGTCTGAGGGCAGGAGGCCGAAGGATTTTGGGGGAGGTAGGTCGTGTCCCGCAGCTCTGGCTGCCTGCTCAGCAGAACCATGGCTGGGCACCAGGTTGCTCCTCTCCATGGGGCTGGGCTCTCTCTGGCCAGGAGGAGGAGGAGGAGGCTGGAAGTCAGGAGCTGTGTCCTTACGTGACCCTGGGAGTCACACAGGGATGGGAACAGCATCCAGGTTGCTGACAGTGTGATTAATGATTTAGGAGTCCTTTTTTTTTACACCGTGGGTTTCCGAATCCTAGTGTGTGAGATTTTAAAATGTATAAACTAGAGGATGGTATTTATGGTCCCTGGTGACCCTCCGTAGCGCCTTTGCCATGTCAGGGTGCTGGTGGTCATTCTGATGGGGGTGGAAGGGCCAGCACAAACCTTAATAGAATCTTAATTCTGCCCAGGGAACTAATCAGTACCAGCAGTCCCATAACAAGCAGGTGTGAAAAACTGAGAAGTACAGATTTATTTATTTTTTGTTTGGGTTTTCAGCTTTGATTGTTTGTGCTTCAGCTTGGAGTGGCCGGGAGATGCCGCGGGGAAGAGGAGCGGGGCCATTGGCTTGTGGCCAGTGCCGAGTCCCCGTTGAGGATGGGGTTTGACAGGTTGTGTCATCGATGGGAACCAAGCTTCTCTTCTCCTGGGCAGAACTGGTGACAGGACGCGAGGTGACGGGCTGTGCTGTGAGGTGGCACGGAGGGACACTTGCTGTAGCCCTTCCTGGCTGGAGATGACTAACCCAAAATGGGACGTGGCCCGTGGTGGCCGTGCTTTCCTCCCAGGGCTCTTGTTTTGCTTGTAACCTGGAAACTTCACGTCCTTAAAGAAAGTTTCAGCTGCGCTTTGGTGTTTATATGGCCTTAACCTCCTGTTTGCCACTGAAGTTGTGGGGATTCTGCTGCCCTTCACGTTTCTGAGGGATGTTTCTCTGCTTGTAAGGTCTCCGGTTACTTTGCATGTTAATTTCTTTTAATGAATATTGTTTCAGTATTGTCGTGCAACAGCTTGTCTTCCTTTTTTAGGGCAGGGCAGGCATGTGTGACCTTCCCCTGGGACACAGGAGACCCAGATTATCATCCTCTTGACCTGGAAGCCAAGGAGGGGCATAGGGTCACGTCAGGGCTCCTTTGGTGTTCGGTGACTCCTGTGTCTCAGGCAGGGCCAAGAGTGGTGAAAAAGGAATAAACAGCTCAGGAACAGAGCGGTTCTTCTGTCTTTTAGCTTTTTGGTGTCTGCCTGTGTGCTCAGTGACGCTGGATGCACTTTTGCTACATAAACTCATCTAATGGGAGATGAGATCTGTCCTGTCTCAGAGGGCAGGCTCGGTTCCTCTCATAAAATAAAAAGGGAACTGTTTTTGGGAGGCTGCAGCTGGTGATGTCCGGAGGCTGGTCCCAGCCTGCCAGCAGCACTCGCCTCAGCAGGGCTGAGCTGGGGTCTCCATCCCTTCCCCGGGCACGGAGAGCCCCACGGCCAGAGGGGGGGGTGGTGTCTGTGAGAAATGGCCCGACTTCAGGAGAGGATTCAGAGCTGGAAACACTGAAAATCCAGAGATGATTTTTCTAAGCCTGAAGGTGCCCCAGACTACCTGACACCTTCTGCTGACCACCGCTTACCTCAGTGCGTTCTGAGGAGCTTCACCGGAGCTTTGTAGGGAGAGGTGAATCCCAGGGAGATCTGGGAGGTTGGATCTGGGAGGTCTCCTTGACCTGTCTTAGGAGACCTGCAGATCCTCTGGCATCAGGTCTCTACCTGCCTGTGACCACCGATTTTTTATTTATTTTTTTTTAATGGTTCGTGTCGCTCAGGACAGCTGGAATTAATTCCTGAATAATGTTTTCATTATTGCTTTCCCAGTGGGACACTGGGTGTCAGCAAATTGTGAAGCAACTGGAGTTTTGGAACACTCACAAGGGCTGAGAGAGTTGGGGGGGTTCAGCCTGTAGAAGAGAAGGCTGTGTGGGGACCTTAGAGCCCCTTCCAGTCCCTCAAGGGGCTCCAGGAAAGATGGGGAGGGACTCTGGATCAGGGAGGGGAGCCATAGAAGGAAGGGAAAGGGTTTGACCCTGAAAGAGGGGAGATTGAGGTGAGATGTGGGGAAGAACTTTTTTGGTGTGAGGGTGGTGAGAGCCTGGCCCAGGTTGCCCCGAGAAGCTGTGGCTGCCCCATCCCTGGAGGGGTTCAAGGGCAGGTTGGAGGGGGCTTTGGGCAACCTGGTCTGGTGGGAGGTGTCCCTGCCCAGGGCAGGGGGTGGCACTGGGGGGACTTTAAGGTCCCTTCCAACCCAAACCATTCCATGACTCCACACTCCAGCTCTGCACTGTTGGGTCGTATCAGCCCGTGGAAGCTGAGGGCAGGAGAAGCCCGAGGGCAGCGTGTGGGTGAGCTGCAGAGGGACAGGGACACAGAGAGTGACCTGGGTGTGTTTGTTCTCCCTTGGCAGGTTGATGGCACCGGGCAGCGAGGTGCGGTTTGTCCATAAGCGCATGGGGCTGGTGCCGGGCTGGGGAGGAGCCGCCCGCCTGGTGGCCATCGTGGGCCACGGGGCCGCCCTCCGGCTGCTGAGCGGGGCCACCAGGGTGGACCCTGAGATGGCCCGGCGCCTTGGGCTCTCGGAGGAGACCTTGGAGTCCTCGGATGGAAGCAGAGCGCTGGAAGAGGCCCGCGCCTGGCTGGGCCGGCACACGGAGGGCCCGGCCAGCGTGGTGCGGGCCGTGAAGGAGGTGGTGGCCGCGGGCAGGGAGCTGCCGCTGGAGACCGCCCTGAGGACAGAGAAAGACATTTTTGGAAGGGTGTGGGGTGGCCCTGCCAATCTGGAGGCATTGGCGAGGAGAGCAAAGCATAAGTGACAGTCGGTGTGTGAGAAACCTTCTTGGCCTTTCTGCGGCCAAAGCTGCGGCTGAAGCTGCCATTAAAGGGAGTCGTTTCAGGACTCGGTCACTGAGGGTGGCATTAACGTCCCTGTCACTCGCCTGGGGCAGACACCAGAGTGTCCCACCTGGCTGGGGATCAGGGAGATGAGGCTGTGAAGGTACAGGCTGTGCCCAGAACAGAACTGTAATTCGTTAGGAGTGACACCTGGCTGGGGATCAGGGAGATGAGGCTGGAAAGGTACACGCTGTGCGAGAACAGAACTGTAACTCGTTAGGAGTGAGGCTTTAAATCCCTCCAGGTATGATGACTCCACCCTGGGCAGCCCATTCCAATGTGCAATAACCCTTTCAGTGGAGAATTTTTTCCCCAACTCCATCCTAAACCTCCCCTGGAGCAACTTGAGGCCATTTCCTTTTGTCCCATGGCCTGTTCCTTGGGAGCAGAACCGACCCCCCCGGCTACACCCTCCTTTCAGGGAGTTGGGGAGAGCAATAAGGTCTCCCCTCAGCCTCCTTTTCTCCAGGCTGAACACCCCCAGCTCCCTCAGCCTCTCCTCACAAGACTTGTGCTCTAGACCCCTCACCAGCTCCGTTGCCCTTCTCTGGACCTGCTCCAGCACCTCACTGTCTTTTTTTGTGGTGAGGGCCCCAAAACTGGACACAGCCCTCGAGGTGGGGCCTCCCCAGGGCCCAGCACAGGGGGACGATCACCTCCTGAGTCCTGCTCCCCACGCTGTTCCTGACACAGGCCAGGATGCAGAAGAGCAGGAGGTGTTTATTTGCAGGTTCTGCACTGGAGCTGTGCTGCCGGGGGGTGACACCCCATGGGTACGTCTGAGGGGCCTCCTTCTGGTTTAATTTGTGTCCAGGAGCTCCCTCTCCCCTCGGCAGCACCTTTCCCCGGGAACAGGGCAGGGGACTCCCGAGGGCTGAGGAAGGTGCTTTGGGAAACGGTTCCAGAGGCTCCTTCTGTCCCTGCTCTGGTGGAATCGCAAACACAGCCCGGGGAGGGCACCCTGAAGGTAAGGACAGGTGCTGGCTTTGAGCACAGATTCCTGGAGCAGCTTAATCCTACATTTTCTGGTTTCTCTCCCGTTTTATAAACACACACAGCCCTTGGGGTGAAAACCAGCCCCAGAATTCCCAGGAGCTCTCCCTTGGGAGCTCCATGAGCGAGATGAATGCAATCCCTTTTTACCAACTCCAAACCTAAAGGCTTTATTTCATAAAACACCATCTTCAAGTGACAAATGCTGTGACCAGCAGCTGAGGAACACCGGTATCCTCTGTACAATTACTGAAGACTAGAAGCTTCATCTCAGTTTTTGTTCCCCTTCAGAAATGGCCTAAAAAAACCACCCCAAGCACTAAATGCACAAAATAAATTAGAAGCCCGTGTTCAGAAGGGACACTCCTGGTCCCCAGGAGCTGCTGGGGCTCCCAGGGGCTCGGTTATTCCTGTCACGCTGTGCAATACCCAGCCTGTCCCTCGCCCGGGGGGAGATACAGGTATGTAATACGTATCGTAATGGGGGTGTTTCAGGGGTGGATCCTGGCGGTGATTTTTTTAGCATTTTAGGTATTTCCTCATCTTTGCTGCTGGCAGGAACCCACTTCCCAGCCAGGGGACGCAGGGTGTTCTGGCCGAGCGCTGGGGTCACAGAGGGGTTTTTCCCGTTGCCACAGGATCCCTGTGTCTGTGGTTATCTGTTCTCCTGGAGACAAAGAGATGCAGTAGATTTTATAGGATTTTAATTTGCCTTTTCCTTTCCGTTCTGCTCCATGGGGCGTTCCTCTAGCCAGGCTGTACAAGTTTAAAAATCCCTTCATGCAGGGAGAGACCCCCCAAGGTCCTGCCACCCACCCCTCCTGCTGAAGGCAGTGCTTTGATGCCTTCACACCAGCTGGGAATTACCCCTGACTTTGGCTTTTGCCCAGGTGGATGGGGACAGTGTGCTTGCCACGCTGCTGCTGGGCTGTTGAGCTCTCCCCAGCCCTATTTTAACTCATTTTTAGCACTTCCCAGCCAAAGGAGCCACGGGCAGCACCCAGAGCCCTCCCCTGACCAGAGCTGTGGCTCTGCCCAGGAATGATCCCTCACCACAGAATTCCCTGCAGGCTCTCTGGGCTGGGAGCCCCGAAACGCAGCGTGGAGACAGTCAGCTCCTCGCTCTCTGCCACAGCACCTGCCCTCACCTGGAGCAAAGGATGTGCCCGTGGCAGGGGGGCTCTTCCTCCAGGTCCCTGCAGCACAAAGGCAGCTCTGATACGGCAGTGGCAACGAAGAACAGAAGAAAAAACATTCCATCCTCTTTCCCTTCTCAAGTCCATGCTACAGCTTTGCCCAAGATTAGACACATCAGCCCTAATTACAGCAAGGAAAACATTTTAGGAGTTTAAATCTACCACCTTTAAAAACCAGCCCATTTAATTCCCTCCAGAGGGTTGTTTGCTGCAGCACCTTCTGGGTGGAGAGAGGCAGCACTTGTCCATCAGCCCCTGTCCCTTCCTGGTCAGGGAAATGGACTGAGAACTGGAGTGTAATTACCTTTATTTTAAAGGCCGAGTCCAGAATCAGCTGATTTAAAAGCAGAATTCAATAAAACAGGTGCCCTAGCCAGAGGAGCCAAGCCATGCTGCTCGAGGGCTGGTTCCTGAGCACCTCTAACACCAGAAATCAGTTTGCAGAAACGGGGCTGACCCAGGAGATGCAGCTCTGCTCCAAGCACCCCACCACCTCCCCTGCGCTGCCCATTTGGCTGTGAGGACCAGAGCAACACCCACATGATCCTTACCCTCCCCGCTCTTCCTCACAGGGTCACCTTTGGTGACGTTATCCCTCTTGTGTCAGCATTTCTGCTGTTAAAACAGCCCTCTCTAGGATACTGCTGCCCACCATAAGCGACGCACATTCATCAGCCCTTCCCCTGTGAGCACTAACCCTCCAAATCAGGCTTTTCCAGCAGAAAGAGACTCAGAGGGTGGTGGGTCCGGGAGATCCCGCTGGGAGCCGGTCCCCCCTCAAACCGTTTCATGATGGCTTTCTCCCCAGTTCCTCCAGCAAGGCTCAGTCACACCAGAGGCACAGCTAAGATTGTTACTGATAAAATGTAGTTTTATTAAATTATAAATTCCGTAACAAAAACGAGACAGATCAAGAAAGACCTCAAAAAACAAACCTACAAGGACTAGATGGCAAAGCCAGTGAAAACGCCACGAAGGGTGGAAAGGTAAGAATTTGCAACGAAAGTTACCAGCGTTTTTACATTTCCATTGAGGGGAGGGAAATGATTGCTCTTGTCTAGTAAAAACACGTTTTAACTCCAAACTCACATCTAGTTTCTCACATTAAATTAAGCCCCCCGCTCCCCCGGCACCGCTCGTTAGTGTTCTGTTCCTCCCCGGGTCCATGCAGAAAGGAGTGAGACACGGGATGGGACAGGGAGGTGGTACAGC